CGCTATGGTTTCATCGTCGAGCGAATAAACTGATTGCCGAGTGAAATTGTCGGTCTTGTTACTGAAAAAATCAACGACGATTAGGGAGAAAACTAACGACAGTTGGCCTACGAATTTTCACTCGACACCTTCGGCAATGCTCGCACGAGCGATCTGCAAATATATTTGTTCGATTTGTTTCTCTGCGGGATTTCAAATGCTGGCAAAGAATCAGTGAACGAATATTTCAGGTAGATAAAATATCACGCTGTTCGTCCGCCGTTTGAGTAGAGAGAAATAAATTGAACAAATCGCACGACAAGTGCGAGTACTCGTGCACTTGGCATAGAAAACGCAGATGGAATTTCGAGCAACTGGATGAGTCAAAAGTTGGCTCGATGGAAGCCAACAGCAAGCAGCAGCAAGAAAGTTGTCGAGCCCACTCTGCTACACTTCGTGAATTATTTCGGTCGTGCCTCTTCCCGGACAGGGCAAATTTACATATAATTGCCAGCGGGTAAATCGTTCGTGTCGTTCCGATTCCAATCTCGTTTCTTCGAGACATTGAACTCGAAATCGATAAATCACCAGCTGTTTACTGGAACAGGGCAAAACTGTTCAACAACAATTAAGAGTTAATTTAGAAGCTTTTCCAAGTCTTTGTTTCGAAGAATTGTTGCAAATTAATTTCTGTAAATCGCCAGATTACTTTGCGATACAGAAAGACTTTTTAAACCTAACTTCAAAGGTGTTGAATATTCAACTGAAAAGGAAGATGGTTTTAAAACGATCGGATTATTAGAAATATTCTGGGAACCTGTTCGAACATAAGTTTGAAGAAGTTAAAATGATAGATTTGTTTGTTTGTTTCAAATATAATTTTATATTGAAATATAATTCTGATATAATTGAAATATAATTGTTTATTTGTTTCAAATGTAATCTTCAATATAATAATCTGTCATCAATATAATTGTGATATAATTGTTTCAAACGTAATCTTCTTCTTCTTCTTCAAAAAAAAAAGAAAATATTAAAATAATAAATATAAATATAAATAATATTATAGGTGTAAATAATAAATAATATTATAAATGTAAATAATAAATATAAATAATAATATAAATGCAAATAATAAATATAAATAATATTATAAGTGTAAATAATAAATAATTCTACGTTTGTCGAAACCGTGTGTATTCGTCGAGTTTAGAAATATTGAAGAAATCTCCGTGATCGTGCAGCAGAGATTAAATCTCGGACGGTAGGCTCAATAAACTCGATTGTCTCCGCGACAGTTCGCCACTATGAAGGAATCTGGGGTAACGAGACACACGGTCATCGAGAAGGTCGCGTTCATCGCGCAATCCGCCCGACGTTTCTAATCTATTTCAAGCCGCGGTTGGTTTCTAGTTTCTAACAGTCTCCTCTCAGCGTGCAGAGTATGCGGAACGACGCTCGCCCATGCGAGAAAGGAAAAAAGAGACGCGTTCATGCTGATAGATCGAAAGGAATATTTTGATTCCAATCGGTTGGTTCCAATCCGATAGTGTTTGAAGAGAATAACTGAATCGTACTCTAATACGTGAACTGAGATACGTGTAACTATGGACTTGTGTCATTTTTTGTGAAACTCTATGGAAAAGTGGAGATATATATATATGTATGGATTCTAGAGAGGTGAGAATCTTTCTCTGAAGTTTGACTCGATTGATTTCTAGCGTCTTTAAGTTTGGATATTTAATTTTTAATTAAATTTTTAATCAATTTTCGTTTTATCATTATTACAGACTTGTAGTATGCGAAATTATTTCGTGATCTCGTTCGTTGAACCTTCATCATGAAAATTAGCCCATTCTCATAAGCTTCCTATGATATGATTGAAGATACTCAAATTTTTAATTTGTCTTACTTTTTAAATTCTTTTATCTTGTTGTATCAATGAGATAAACGTTCAGTTCTCTCTCAGACAGAAGATTAAAAAGAGGAGAATAATATTATTTATTTTCACTCATATCTGTCTCTGTTCCTCCTTTCTTAACATTAACTCGCCAAAACGAAAGAGAGAGAGATGAAACTCCGAAACCAGAAAATCCATCAAGACATAAATATTCATCGGGCACACGTCGTCCCTTCATAATGTTTGCACTTCCTCGATCCTCAATAATCTAATTTCCTTCCCTCGTGTCCGTCAACCATTATGTAGTTTTTCACCATCAATCTTACCTCCTGATAAAGAATGAAAATCCTGCTTACAATGAAAAAGTACACGTTCGGGGAACATTCTTCCGCATACCGTCGTCAGATCTTCCTGTCTTCGACCTTCGTTCACGTTATTAGCATCGTCGGCCGTCGTCGACGATCCTCTTTCGTTCCGAAGTTCGTTCCATTGGCACGTTTCCAAAGCGTGGCGGAACTCCCCGAGGAGGAGAACCCGGGGAAGGTCGGAAATCTGACGAAAATCTCGTTTCACACACACACACTCACACACATACATGGTGATTCGTCACTGGCGGATGTAGGAGTGGATGATTTCATCCAGTCGATACGCGATGCGATCCCACTTTGACGCTCCGTAGCCTTTAATTACAAAATTCGACTATCGCTATCTCGTTCTGTCTCTCGTTTCTGCCTCCGCCCACGCTGAAGCTGCTTTGTGTTCTGCCAGATCTCCGACGAAATTCTCTTTCGACGAATAATCTAGAGTCGACGAACAATCGACGAACGCTTGCCCATCCGATCTCCGTCTGTTTGTCGGTGTTTGTACAAACATGGGAATCGAGGAATATATATATATATATATATATACTCACGTACGATGGAATTTTTGTAGAAAGAGATTCTTTCTCCCGCGTTTCGATTTCGATTTCAAGCTTCGCGGAACTGAGGATTTCATATACTCGCGTTCAATTGTCAAACACTGTGTCTGACTTTTCGATTCGAAGGTGGTTTCCGCTTGACGATAAGTTTCTCAACTTTCGTGTCTTTTTCCCAAAGTGTCTGCGTGAATCGTTACATCGTCGTAACATCCGTTGATGATGGAATTCGCTCGTTATGTTTTATCAACCGTAACGGAGTAATTGATCGGTCGGAAAGGCGAAACAGGGGGGTGGGAACTGGGGTTGAAAAGGTTGAGGATAGCTCCGGGCAATTTAGACTTCAGAAAGGGGTCCATTTATCACTTAAAAGATCAAGTTGGAAATTGGGATACAGAGCCGAAGGGGGAACGCGTGCGTCCGATTTGATTGATAATTTTCGCTCATTTGGGTCTGATGTGTATTTCACCTTTTCGAAAATTCGTTTCTTTCGCGTGGGAGGGCTGCTAGTTTGTATTCCACCGCCAGCGTTTCCAGTTAGTTACGTTGATTTAATAGTTAATTAGTTAACCCCCTCCCCTCGTAGCAATCTCGAATAAATAGCGAATGATTTAGCTACGCTACGATTTCATCGTACACCGACGTACACCACGTATTTTCGTTCGAAAGTCGAAATCGGGTTGATCCGTTCGAGCCTCGCTGTCCCATCAAATTGATTACAAATTGGAAACAAAAGAGGCACGAATTATCGAAAAATCGAACGTGCCTGCTTCGAGTAGATTGCCATCCGTTCTAATTTTGCATTTGTTTCTCGCGCGAATCTCTCTCCAACAGCAGCAATAAAAATAAACGAACGAATAAAATGATTCTCCTGTAACATGGAGACGATTCTCCAAAATCCAGAGTTCGCTCGTAAACGAGTATAAATAATGTTCTCTCGGGAAAAAAGAAAAATATACCAAAAAAAAGAAAAAAAGAGAGAGAAGAGAGAGTTGCAACAACATTTCACCGGATAAAAGGGGCAAATGTGACCTGATTCGCATAAACGCGGCGCGTTTGCTTCCCGTGGTCCGTAAAGCTCGTTATAGTCGGCGAACGCGACGCAAATGGTAGTTTTCGCGTGAATCCTAAACGCGCGAGCTTATTACCCCAGTGATGTGTGTGTGTGTGTGTGTGTGCGTGCGGGCGCACGGGTCGGACAAGTAAAGCAAAGGATGGGAGAACGGCAATTTCGAGGCGTACTCGCGGCGATATTTCCCCGAGTTAGCCGAACGTGACTCGTAGAGAACGGAGTAAAACGAGCAACGTACGAAATAATGAAGAGGAACGAACGCCAGCGAAACGAAATTCGCCGCCGGAGTTTCGACGATTTAAACCGGCCGACATAAAATCCCATTTCTCGATAACTCGAGATGACTTTCAAGTGAAATTTCCCAAAGACTTTTTAGCTGTTTGCGCTCTTGGATCCTTTCCTTGGAGCTTCTTAGAGTGCTCTGATGCTGGAAAGCATGACACGAGATACGTGCGTAGAAACGACAAGGTTTTCAAATGAGAAGGTAATTTTTCTCGCGACCGATAAAATAGAAAAGACGTTTCCGCGTAATACGTGGACATCAAAAACATCAGTGTCGATCTTTTCAGATGGGAGGTTCGAAATTGTTTTTAATTAAACGTGCATCTGTACAGCAGAATGTAAAACAAGGTGTCTGTGCTTTCAACAATTTTCTTCGGCTGCAAATGGGTTTCTCTCCTCTCGTTCACCACGGGAGAGTAAAAATATTCAACCCATCGAGAGACACAATTTTTCACTCTAAAAATACTGCGTCTCGCGATGCAACCAGTAGAGAAAACGAAAAAGGGAAAACCACTCAGACCAAGAAACCAAAGAAAAGGAACGAACGTGCGACAGTCCGAACGAAAGAGGCGATCTCAGTTCGAAAAGCGTTTCGAAAGTTCGAGAGTCGATCAAAGTTAAAAGATTCGCTTCGAGAGTCAGACGTGACACAGCGAGAAAAAAAAAAAAAAAAAGGATCCTTGGTAACGTTGGTAAAGGACGGAAGACGCACTCTCTTCTCTCCCTCGATATAGAATCGATAAAGAAAATAAAATAAATAAAAATACAGGGCAGAACCGCTCGCGCGATCCTCGTCCATTGTCTCTCTGGCCCCGCTCTGACCGGTCTGGCATTTTTTTTTTCTGTTGCAGAGCCGAAGAAGGAAAAGACTGAACAGAGTGCAAATGGCGCGGTATCGCCGAGCGGTGAGCCGCAAGCGAATCAGGGCACGGCTACCACCGGTAGCCTGCCGATCTCGGCGGCGCCCCCGAATTCAGGGGACCAGCAAAAGCCGAGTAGGCCCAACACCCTGGAAGCCAGGGTGGTAACCAGGAGACTGATCTTGTTCGACAGTGAGTACAGTCGTTCCGTTGAATCTCGCCAATTCTCTCGAATCTCTCTATCTCTCAGAGATCTAACCTCTTCTTAAGGTTCAGGGTTCCCTTAACGAATTGAAAATTTGTAGAATTTACGAGGTAACAGAATATTGCTTGTTCAGTTAATAAATATATACTATTATGCTATTAATATGGTATATATTAATATAGTATATAATAATATGGTATATGTTAATATGGTATATAATAATATGGTATAGGTTAATATGATATATATTAATATAGTATACTATTAATATGGTATATAATAATATAGTATATGTTAATATAGTATACTATTAATATGATATATAATAATATGGTATATGTTAATATGGTATACTATTAATATGATATACTACTAATATGGTATACTATTAATATGGTATTTAATAATATGGTATTTAATAATATGGTATTTAGTAATATGGTATACTATTAATATGGTATTTAGTAATATGGTATACTATTAATATAGTATATATTAACATGGTATCGGTATACTCATTGCAAAGTATAATTTACGTATAATTTAGTGTATCTTTCGTACTTCACACAATGTACTAAATTGTACGCTTCGATGATCCACAAGCACTATATACTATATTAATGGAACATTTTATTAATTACATATATTTTATATTTATAATATCACGTTAAATTTTATATATATTCTTACATATTGTATCTTGTATCTTGTCGGAGATATATACGGATATTAAATTAACAGAGATTAAATTAACACGATTAATTGATATCGCGATTAAACAAGATGCAATCCAACACGATTTATTTATGTTACTTATGGAGATATAAATTAAGGGAAGGGAGGAAACACGAACGATAGAAAGATGAAAAATTTAATTACACTTCAGAGCCACCAGAAGGACGAAACAAATGGAATAGGCTATAACATTATTTTTGCGACGTTGGTCAGAGTGAAATGAAATATTCAACGTCTCCGTGAAAATGCACGTCCAGTAGCGTGATTTCTGAATTTCAAACGGTGTCGTTAATTACTCTCTGTTGATCACATATGTATTCGTGCGTCAATTTTATTGCCTTCGTTAATTATTTCAAACGTGATCCAACGCGTGTGCATTTTCAATTTCCCATTGCCGGTGAATGCAAGCTCGATGTTCCAGCTCTTTTCTCCTATGAATTTTCGTGAAGAGACACTTTCCATCGCGTAATCGTCAAACGACAAGAGAGAAACTTTGGAGAATTCGAGGCGCGTGATCACGCGTGTTTCCCGCGGAACGTGAAACAAGATGATTCTAATAATAATATGCCATGAGTTACGACAGCTCGTTAACAGGAAGTGGTGTATCGCGGGGCACGTTCCGCGAGGCTGAAAGAGGCTGACCTGAATAAAATCGTAAAAAATAAAAAGTAACTCGCTCGTAAAAGCGGAACGAAATAATTAATGGCCAGAACGCCATAGTCCATGTGTGCCAACTACACAACTATCTCAGTTATTTCCCCTTTTTACGAAATCCAATATTCATTTTGAAATTTTCTCGCGATTCTTCAGATTTCCCGCCGAGTTTGTGATCTTAAGAACATTCTTTCATCAATTGCACGAGTATTTAATTACTAATAATACAATGTCAACAGAAGAAATTCGATATAAAGTATCCTTCAACGTTATTCCTTCGAACGTATGTCTCAGAAATTTTCGCAATGAAATTCGAACACGTTCGAATTAATTTATCTCGTGCACCAAACATACTTACACCACCTTTTTCGTTATCTACGTGCGATTGATTCGAGGTAAAAGTAGTACGATGACCGATTTCCATTACCCTCCATGCTGATTATCGGTTTCCAGATTATCGAATTGATCGTGTCGCGATTAAAATAATATCCACTCCTGGTGGGAGGGAAATATAGAACGAAGAGGGGTTGAACGACCGAGCAACGAATAACTCGAACGTTATATGAAACGACGTCGCGTCGATATTGCACCCGTGATGAAATTACGATTTTTCTTTTTTTTTTTACTATTATCAGAAAACTGTCAGCCAATTTAATATCATGGCACTCTCTTTGTTATTTCTTTTTTTCTCTCTCTTTTTTTACAGCGCGCTATTAAATTCCAAGGACGATACACACACCCCTCGTATCGTATCGACACAATCAAAATTGTTATACACTGTTCGCTCGTGACGTTCATTATCCCTCGCGCGAACCTCGGCGATAAAAATAATAATGAATTTTTAGAAAATTCTTTATTGCTTTATCCGTGTAACGACCTGACGTCAAAATATTTCTAATCAGTGTGAGCTGGTAGAATGGACGTTGAAGACAGATACAAGCGCAAGTTTCTGGTCTTTTTGTTTCTCTGACTTTTATTTTAGTGACGAATTGAAAACATATTTGAATTTTGAAATTTACTTTACCTGCGATACTCCACTTTGGATACTCTGTACAGAAAATAATTAAATCTATTTGATTGGTTTTCAAATCACGGAGGTAATTATTATCTCGAAATTGAAGAACCAAATAGATTTCCGAGAATTTTATTGAACTTCCTTTCAATAAAATGGCTGCATATGCGAGAGCACGTACGAATGAATTGTCAAATGAAACAAAAACGTAAAGGAAACGAATTAGCACGAGCAACAACGAGTTATAATAATGTTAAACGACTGCGACTGTTCGTTTGTTGCGAACTGAAACGACACGAATACGTGGAATTCACACGTGCGCGAAGGCAAGCGACGCTTGCAGTGAAATGCTAAAGCGAGGCGAGCCGAGCGCAAGTGGAACTAATGCGTTTACGGTCAGACCTGGTTGCGCGTCAAAAGTCGCGAGCGGTGTATTATTATTATATATATATATATAATAAATGCCTGTAAATCCTGACATTCTCGGGGCTTTAATAAATCGGTGGTGTGAAAAATCATGCAGATTAAATTAATCGTTGCCTTTGTGATAAAAAGGAGAGATTAAAGAGATTATCTGTTACCGAAGATAAAAGACTTTCATGGAGAAAGATATGACAGGAAGTTGTTTATAACGCAATGCTTTAATAGTTAACGGCAGTGATTAATGACTTTTGTTTTGTTCACATGAAACTGAAATGTTCACTGATAATTGATACACTTTCAAACGAGATATTTGTCGATAAAATATTAAATCGATAAAATCCATATTGTTGTTGCGAATATAATTGAAAATTTCCTTATCTGTTAAATACTGCAAGGAGCATTATTATTTCGATGTTTTGCGAAAAACATTTGGCCAGAGTGAAATTCTAGTTCAGTTCAAATTAACAACATTCTTCCTGTAAACATTTTTTCGAATTTAAAAAACTTTTCACTTCAACAATGTAATAATGAAATAATCGCAATTTAAAATCTTTCGGCTGAAATGCACAGCCACTCCATATTCTGAATATTTTCGCACGTTCAAATTATTGAGCATTCTCTCGATTCTTCCCAAACGAGAGTTGCAAGAACTTGACTTGATGTTAAGAAATTTTCGTCTCTGAAATTGGGAATTCTGGAATGACGAAGAAACGAAAAGGAAAGAAAAGGAAGAAACAAAACGCAGACGTTTTCCTTAAGCAGATAGCTCGTTGAAATCCGCGTGAAACGTGTTCTCGCGAGATCGTGTTTCTCGATAGCTGTCCATGTACCGGCGAAGCTGGATTCGAAGATAAAAGCGGACTTTGAAGTTTCGGAAAGTAAACGAGAGTTTGTGGTAAAGGTGATTTACGCGACGGAAGCCGACGGCGCGCAAAAGTTGGCCATCGTTTGACCGGCAGCTTTTTCCCGGTGAAAATTCGCCGTCGAATCGACGACGAAAACTTCCTGCGTCCGCTTAAAAATCTCGACCGTCTTTTGTACTTGTCTCTCCGTCTGATGGAAACTTTTGCAGGAATTGTCGATACCTTTCAGTCCGCGTTCTTCATTTTGCTGGTTGCTGGTCCCGACAACTTTTCTTTGTCGCTCAATCGAGTCGATTCGATTTTAACAAATGGCAAACTTCGCGACAATGCACATTATGGAATTTGTACATTTGCGGAAGCTAACTCTGAATGAACGGACTCGTACCTGACGAACTTTCGAATATTTCACTGAGATGTAAATGTATTTCGTAATTTTTATGAGATAATAGAATAAAATAGAATAATAAAATAACACTAAATGGTAACCTCCTGTCAACAATTGTATTGTTCACTCCGGAGTTGATCAAGTTCGACAATAATTGAATTGCAATTGTAATTGAATAATAATTAAAAATATAATAATAGTATAATATGTAGTATATATACTAATATTACACGTAGAAGCTATATTTAAATATATTAATATTTAATTAATTATATTATATTAAAATATGCTAATATATGTATAATAGTATACTACAAATTGTTAAATTATTTATATAAAATTATAAATTAATTATATAATAGTATACTATAAATTATTAAATTATTAAATATATTATATATTATTATTAATATTAATTAGTAATATATTAATAATAATATACTATATCTAACTAATATTAATTAGTAATATATTAATAATAATATACTGTATTTAACAACTTAATAATTTACTACATACAGTAATATATACATAGTATAATACATTAACAGAATACACAGAAACTATACTATAAATTTTCAAGCTCAATTTCATCGAAAACGAAATATACTACACTATACTTAATTTAAATATACCAATAGTATACATTAAAACTGTACTTTCGAGGAAATTTCCAAGTTGAATTTCCTCGAAAATCAAGTGACAAAAGTGTTGTCCTCTCTTTTACAAAAATCATCCTCTTGGCAAAGGGAATCGTGTCTCTTGCAGCAATTTCTGTTCCACAAGAATGTATCGCTTTCTCACTTCGATTCTTTCGAAATTAAACGAACGAAAATTCATTCTATGCGTGTGTCGCTCTTATTCTCACTGTGGTAAGTACAGTTCGATGTTTCCCGACCTCCTCTCGCTTCGAAACACACGAAAATTCCAAGAGCATCGCGACTCTACCTTTAATCACCCCTGGTTTGCATCCTCCTCCTCGCTCTGATCCTCTTTCGCGAACGAGGGAGCGTCGTTTGTTCCTTTCGACGGAATTTCCCTCGGTCGAAGGGATTCTCGGATGACGGGATCGCGGCGTTCTGGAGAAATTGCATCGTCTCGGGAGCGCGATTTGCGCGTTGAAAAATGCTGGGACAAGGTTAGGAAAGAAGAGATTAGGTGACACGATTCCTTGCTATTTCGCGGCCATTTTGCACACCGTACGAGAGTGTTGTTGAAGGACGTGTGCATGTATATCAGAATTTCGTTCGAAGAAGATCACGGTCTCGCGTGTGACGGGGATGTTTCTCTCGATCGTTCACTGCGATTGTCAGATAGATGAAGCGATTTGCATTATTCTGTGGGAAAACTCGTGCTGCGAAATACCGATACCGGTACGAAACGTTGAACGAAAATGAAAGATTCTATAGATCCGTTGTGTGTTTTACACGAGACGTTCCGAAATTTCATGAACGCAAATGTATTAACGAAGTTTGATAGCTACGAGTGATGAGAAACGACAAGATAAACACTTGTACTTGTACTTATCCGAACTATAACCAGCAAGACAATCATTTGTTACAAGTTTGCACGCATTCGTGCGAAATTTAAAGGTGCTAAAGCGCATAGAATACATATAATGCACAAAATTACGTAGAATATCCAAAGTAGAGTATTCGTTATAATTTTTAACGTCAGTGAAACTGAATCCTTAACTAGATCGTATACCCATAAAAAAATGTGAAATTGCAGAAAAATCCCGTGTCAATTTACTATACGTTGATACTTATTATATTTAGATACTTATTAATCTTATGTACTACAAGGGAAACTAAATTATACTAAATTTGGAAGATTATATGCCGCATCTACTACAGCGGTTTAATACTCTCGTTTCCATAATGTAAAATCTAAATCCATAAGCTCGAGTAATTTAAAATCTAAAAGTTGCAAACTCGATTTCCACTTCCCTCGGAATTACGCGTTCACAAGCGTAAATTTGCGAGTTTACGTGCTCCATGAAAGAAAATACCAGAGATACCAAGTCGCTGACTCGGTGCATGAATTTCCGGCGCTTGAGCCCGTCGCAAAAATGCTAAATAACTTCTCGGTGGACACCTAACCGCAAACCGACGGCCGAAATTTCGGTGCGGCAAGAACTTGGCGCATAGTTCCGCAAGATCGCTGGAATTTCTCGAATTCCCTAGCCGAAAATCGATGGGTTCGTGGACCAGTTCTCCGCTCCTCGATCCTTGTGTGTAAAATGAACTGAAGAACATCACTTTCCTTTCTCTCCTACTTGCTCTCGTCGACAAAATTACACTATGCTTTGAGTAACTGCAAGCTTTGAATCGACGAGCAATAAGTATCGTAACTTTCTTTCAGTTCAGCGAAATTGTTCGCACCATTTGTCAATTCCCACTACTAACTTATCAACACTTGGGCTAAAAATAGAGATCGACGACTAAAGCGTGATATTTTTCACGAAAGACACGAAAGCACTAGAGACGGAAAAATTTTATGATTTTATAAGAGAGTGCGCAAGCTTTTATTTATACATTTTACGAATCTCTGAAAATACGTTGCTTTAATTTATGTAAATTTTCTTACGAGTTTTTCACAAAAATTATAAATCGGTCACTTTGAGAGCTACCACGTTGGTGGTTCTAGTATCATGTTATAACAAATACTCCAATTTTCACGAATCCTTTTAAACTTCGAATCTTATATAAATTTTCTTACGAGTCTTTCACAAAAATTACAAATCGGTCACTTTGAGAGCTACCACGTTGGTGGTTCTAGTATCATGTTATAACAAATACTCCAATTTCCACGAATTCTTTTAAACTTCGAATCTTATATAAATTTTCTTACGAGTCTTTCACAAAAATTAAAAATCGGTCACTTTGAGAGCTGTCACGTTGGTGGTTCTAGTATCATGTTATAACAAATACTCCAATTTCCACGAATTTTTTTAAACTTCGAATCTTATATAAATTTTCTTACGAGTCTTTCACAAAAATTAAAAATCGGTCACTTTGAGAGCTGTCACGTTGGTGGTTCTAGTATCATGTTATAACAAATACTCCAATTTCCACGAATTTTTTTAAACTTCGAATCTTATATAAATTTTCTTACGAGTCTTTCACAAAAATTAAAAATCGGTCACTTTGAGAGCTGTCACGTTGGTGGTTCTAGTATCATGTTATAACAAATACTCCAATTTCCACGAATTTTTTTAAACTTCGAATCTTATATAAATTTTCTTACGAGTCTTTCACAAAAATTACAAATCGGTCACTTTGAGAGCTACCACGTTGGTGGTTCTAGTATCATGTTATAACAAATACTCCAATTTCCACGAATTCTTTTAAACTTCGAATCTTCCTTTCCTTAAATTTCTAGATCATTTATTTATCACCCCGCGTAGTTGCAAGTACAACGTTTCAATCCTTATCACGCGCCAGGTCCCTAAACCGCGACGAAAAAGAGAAGAAAGATAAAAAGACGGAACAAAGCAGCGACGAAGTTCTCTATACCGCGGCAGCGATAAGAAATGGAATTTCAAGCTCAGCCAGAACAGCTCTCTGTTGCATTGTCGTCGTCTGGCGAATCCTCGCCCGGCGTTCCTTCATTTATTACGGTTTACGCGAGAATTTTCGCGCGTGACAAATGCACCGTGACGCAAATGATACAGCGAGCGGCAGAGTGAAACGAAAAAAAGAAGGGAAAACGAGAGAACCGGGAACGAGGGTGAAGAAGAAGAAAAGTAGAGAAAGAGAGAGGGAATACGCGAAAAAGGAAAAACCGGCCGAGTTGGAAGTTTGCAATTTGTCAACGGCCGGTGGATGGAAACGAGCAACGCGTAACTATGCCAAGCTTCACCGCCGTCCGTGTTACTCGCCGATGAATCATATCTCCCGTAAAGAATTGGCACGCTTGGCTCTTCTCCTGCTTGCGGCCGGCAGAGAGGAGCAAGCTGCGAATAAAACCGTTTGTCCACCGATTTTTCTATCGTTGCGTTTCCGATCGTGTTGCGCGAGCATTCGGCACCCAATGGAAGGGAAGATCGATCGAAACGTGACCGTCAGGATTGATTAGGTGCGCCTGATGGATTGATTGAGATAGCAGGTAGCCGATCAATTGCTCAGACTGCTATCGGAAGCCTGTTCATTGAAGTGAAATTGAAGGAGTATATTTGGTAGTGATGTGGGAGGATAACGCGAGTCTCTGTAAGAAAATTAGTAGTATGTTACGTCGTTTATCCTGAGGATTAACACGTTCGAGAAGAAATGATTGCAACCGTAGATAGTATGTTTCGAGTTTCTGCAAAGTGACCTTATTCCAGATGTTCATTCAGACAATACACGAGTATGTAAATCTAGGCTTCTCAATGTGCCACAGATGTGTGTACGTGACGCTGGGATAATCTTCGTTCGTTTTTATTCAGATTGAAAAAAAGAAATTGACTTGATGAAAATCGATACGTCACAGATCACGTTACATATCGTTTCGAATTATCGGAGTTTGGTTCGCGCGTTTGGAATTTTATCCGAAACGAAGATAAGAAATGTACAATGGTTAGACGAAGTTTCGAGGATTCTCGAACAATTATTCGTTTTAATGCACGAGGCAAGATTCTAATTTCATACCGCCGCTCGATCCATCCTGGAGAAGTAGGTCGTTCTATATTCGAATTCAATCGGAAGTATTGAGATTCAGTCCAATAGAACATGCGATAGAACGACTTTCCAAGTGCCTAGAGATACGTCCACGATTCTATTACTTTACAAATCTTCAAGTTTAAATCGATCTTGCGCTATACTTTGCACGATTCTCGAGTTCATTCGTACTCGACACTCTGGGCTAATTGAAAACTTGTTACATCGTCGTTTGCTCGTGTTGTTTTACATCTAATAGTAAATAATATGCGAAGAACTAACGAGCTATTTTGTTCCTCTTGTTTCTCAGTGGAGAAGGGGGTCTTGGACCAAAGCAGCGAGAACCAGCAAGTGATCGAGAGGTGTTACCCTCTGCCACCTCAGAACACGTTGATGCTGTCGGAACTTCCGGAACCGCCGATTCCCCTGAGCGAGATCGGGCCGATTCCGCCTCCTCCGATGTTCAGCTCTTCGAGTCCGACCCTCCTGTTGGCTAAGCAACGACAAATACGGAATCCCCTGTCGTCGGACTACGAAGACGAAGGTACGCTATCCTTCCAATCTAACTGTGTAACTTTCTTTACTCGCAAGTAAACATTAACTTTGCAATAAATAAAATTTCGTCCTTTTCCATTTTCACATATATTCGTCGAGCATATCGAGTCGAACATTCGTCAAATACTTCGTACATGTGATAGATCTTGAGGATTACTTTGAGAGTGCCTATTAAAAAAAAAAAAAAGGGGGGGGGAACCTTTGAATTAATTCTGATTACGAGCCAATAATCGTTGAAGAGAGCCGTTAGAATCAACTCGACCAAGTGCTGAGAGTCGTAAAAAACACGTAACCGTTAACTGGAGCCGATGTACATATAACGAAGTCATAAAATTGATCAGTAACTGAAGAAGTTTGCTCGTTTCGAGCTTGGAAATTGCGTTGTTTAAGACGTTCGAGGACACGAACTCGATATTGCTTCCTTTCTTTATAGCACCTCTCTTTAAAGGTGTATATTCTTTTCTTTTTCTTCTTCTTCTTCTTCTTCTTTTTTTCATTATTTTCGTTTTCTCTCTTCGGCTCCTTCGCAGAGGACGACGACGTCTTCGAGGAGGAGGACAACATGTACGTGCCGAGGATGTCGCAACCGGATCCGGCCATCGACACGTCCAGGGTTGAGGAGATCCCCGCGAAGGAGCCGAAGTTTCACGCGGTGCCGCTCAAGAGCGTGCTGAAGAAGAGGGGTTCCGGAAGTGGGCCCGGAACGCCGCAGAACACGCCGACGCAGGAGAACAGGCCGTTGACCCTTCGTCAGGAGCTGCACGCCTCCTTCAAGTTAGTGCAACGGCAAGCGATTTCTCTGCTGACGAGGAACCCTCTTCAGACATCTTTCCCCTTGAAAGACTCGACGGTCACATAACAAAATTTTCCCATTAATTCCCATCTGACTCTAAGTCCATTAGGAGAAAGAAAGAAAGAAAAAATAAAGGAAAGAATATTCTCAATCTTTTAATTACAGAGAGAGAGAAATTCTCAATTCGTTTTCGCAGTCGAAACGAGAAAGGGGAAACTTTATTTCCTTAAAGGGGATTCTCAGTTTAAAGAGAGAGAGAGAAAAGAAGAAAGTATTATAATTCACGGAGAAGTATTTCCCCGGAGAAATTAGGGAAATAATTGAACAATGTGACCGCGAGTCATTCATTCCGGATCAAGCACAAGATAGATTCGTCGCGAAGAGAGAAACGAGTCTTCTTCGGGGATTCTAAGGCGTCGGCGACAAGATGTCTTTCATTCGCGGTGTAACTATGATTTCTGATCGGTACTCGGACGATCCTACTGCGGAGAATGAAAGGCTCGGCCGAGAGGAATTAAGGGCGAACTGTTTGAGTTTAATTAGCGTGTTGGGTTTTAATGGAAAAACCGGTTAGAAACCCCGGAGAAGCTCGTTCTGGAACATCGTTCTTCACCCTCCAGCCTTGTCATCTCTCTCGCTTTCTCTCTCTCTCTCTCTCTCTCTCTCTCTCTCTCACACACACACACGCGCGCACGTGCACCGTGTTCCCGCATATTTTCTTTCTCTTTCTATTGCAGGTTCCCTTTCATTCATCGTTCTCGTTCGAATGGACCCGCGTTGTGCTAGTTTCAATTTCGTTTCGATGAATTTCGGTAGTAAGAACACCGATTTCCAACATTCGACACGGTCAATTTACGGAAATTTTATTCGCCAGATCCAAAAAAAAAAAAAAAAAAAAGAGGAAATAGCACGGTGTTCTTCTTTTCTTTTTTAGCGCATAATAGACCACTTGTTTTTCAGTAGAGGCTTGGTATTTTTTAAATCTTAGTACGCAAGCAGTTCAGTTGCAGCGTTTGTCAAATTGTCAGATCGTAGTCGTTCATCAATGATCAAAACGTAAACAACGTATACGATTCGATTCAGATTAAGTCAGATCTCTTTCGATTAAACTGACACGTTGATCATATTTTACTGAAACTGTTCGCGCGACAACTGTGAATTTTCAAATATTTTTTAACTCAAAGATCTCGCGAGATCGAGGCGTTCTTAGAAAAATAGATTTCTTCATTTAGAAACAACTCGTTGAAATACAATTTTTGTAGATTTTTAGAGTCCAAGCGCGATAAGGATAAAAACGAAATTGTAAGATAGATTGATCGCTCAAGGAGAAGGCACGGGTTTGCGACATTCTATAATTTATGAAAATATTTACCAAGTGGAAAAACCGAAAAAAAAACCGACAGAAAAAGAAAAAAAGAGAAATGCAGTATCAAGCAGTAACATTTTATACGAGGGTCGTATCTCGCTCAGTAGTCAGACTCGTGCATTTATCCCCGGCCGCGTAAACGTTGTGCAGGTCCCTTTACGACGCAGCGTTTCGCACGTAACGACCGAGACGTTAAATTCAAAGTGAAGCGCGGAGAGTGTTGTTCGCTTTCGATTGTTAAAGCGAAAAGAGAGCCGGGCGACGTGTACGGTTTTCGAAGGTTGAGTCGAAGGGATCGAGAGAACGATGCTCCGGTGGTGAGGCGAATCCCGCGAGGGGGTAGCTTCGCGCATCCGTCCATTGAACGAAAAAGAAAAACATATTAAAAAAAAATAAAAAAAAAGAAAACACAACGAGAATCACTAGTTAAAAATATGGTATTTTTCTTATGCTTAACCAGAAGGCCACCGTTGAGGCCTAGGATGAGAATATGGTAATTGGGCATTGGTCTAACTAAGCATGCGCGAACCAATATGGTATATACATATCCAAATATATATATATTATATGTATAAATATTTGTCTTATATATCCACGGCGGTTGATCGCAGAGAACCAACAGTGTTCTAGCCACTTCTCTTTTTCTCCATTTTCTTTTTTCTTTTTTTTTTTTCTTTTGTTTCTGTCTCTTGTATATATATATATATATATATAAATACAAATACTGCGTCTCGTAAAAATCTAAAATCACGCCGAAGCGTGACGTATCTACGCAACTTGCAGCGATCGAAAATGGAAAAATGAAACGAATTCTCCATTTTGGAATTTCTTCGAGTGAATTACAAATTTATGTGGATACGCGAAGCAAAATGTAGAAAAAAATGTATATTTGAAATCGCATTCCGAGAAATAATTTAATCTCTCCTCCAAAAGAAGTACGTTGTATTCATTGGAAAAATGAAAAGTAATATGTGAGAAACTAATTTATTCTTTTTACGTGGAAAACTAGTTCATTCTGGTCCTATGCACGACCACAGTGACGTAGTATTTAATCGCGAGAATTAAGAATTTGAGGGTAGTGATGGTTTTATTGTTACGAGACGCAATATAATATGATATTTCTATTTTACTCTCTTTCATTCTTTCCATTCTTTTTTTTTTTCTTCTTGCATATTTCTATCTCTGTCTCTTTCTCTCTCAAGATTATATATTTTCCCTTTTTCTCTTTATATTTTTTTCTCTTTTTCTATTTCTCTCTTTTCTTTCTCTCTGTGTGTCAGTACCAGGAGTGCCGTGAGCATGGTAAACGTACGACCTTAAGCATGAGAAAACCCTAGGGAAAACCCATGAAAACTATCGCCCACGCTTCACACGTTCCATTATCGTCGTCTCACGCGGCCAGAGAACCTCGGAATCCGATCGATCGACGCTGATCTCGAGATTCTTTGTCATTGCAGCTCGGCGAATCGAGCTGCGGACGGCAGAAAACTGAGCAGCTCGATTCGTCCGTCGGTCTGTAATGGATTAAAGAAATGTCACCGGGATCGTGACGCTTCTTCTTCTCCTTCTTTTTCTTCTGCTTCTTCGAGTTTTTTGCGTTCTGTCCTTTCCTCTTGCGTTCCCATTGCCACGCGCGGCTTCGACGCTTTTCACGCTCGTTCGCTTTCACGACTGACAATCGAATTTTCCCAGGTAAAGGACGCGACTTGTGCCGCCACACTCGTTTTAATTATTCCATCTATTCACAACTTTCTGGAAATTTTCTCGGGGAAAATGACGTTTTAGGGATTCGTGCACGAATTCTTTTTCCTTCATTTTTGAAGAATTTCCTTTAACCCTTCTGTGAGCGTACAGTGAAATTTCGACGATGATTGTTTTTGAAATTTTTGAAGCGAGCACATGCTTTACAAACGTGAGATACGTATAATATTTGAGGAGTATATTTGGGAGAGATAATGACTATTATTTCGTTTCAATAAATTACATCTCGTAAATAATTCGTTATATTAATGTTTCATCGAACACAGTGGAGTAATAAATGTGCAAAATAAAACTTTGGAAATGCGCGATATGTAAAAATCTTTGACCATATTTTTCAAGGAATCTCAAGAAATAATTTATAAAAGATTTCGTGCTTTACTCTCGACTGGATAATTCGTAACATAAGCAGGCGCGTTGTACGAATAACAGTGCGTTTGAATTACCGAAATATGAATACAAATGAAATTGTTAAGCATTAATGTAGACGAATACAGGCGATTATATTATTAAATTATTTCTTTTTATTTCTTTTATTTCATTTTATTATCGTATGTGCTTTACGATGTTCCATTCTTTGTTGTGGATATACAACGAGTAATCACTGAAGGGTTAATTAAATTCAGCTGACATTTCAATGTTTGAACAGCTGGAGGTTAATGTAACACAAAGGTATTAAGCCGAATTTGATATCCAGCTGTTTAAACAATCGCAGTTTGTAATCTCTGGAATCTCTTTAAATATTCGTTTCTGTTACTACAATACGTTTGTTTTTATTTTACGTTATGATTGCATCCTAATCCCTCGCACTATCTTCGTAATTAAGAAAGCAAAATTTTGATAATTCTGACATACATATACAGGAATTAAATCCAGTGCGAAGGATTATGGATACGTAAACTTGAAATTATTCCACTCTTTAGAAACACGCCTGTAAATTTTTCCAACTGTACAGAGATTTTGTACTCCACTTTTTTTTCTAATAATTTGTAATTCAATAATATTAATCCCCCGTTTTTTTTTTAGCAAATTTCCTCGTCCCTTTACATTGAAACTGGTAACAGAAACAAATCAGAGTCGAAGGAACTGACACTTGTACCTTTAATATACGATGAAAGTGAAATAAGTTCCGTTTTAAAACTTCTCTGCAAATTGGCCAAATTTGGAAAAAAAAAGAAACGAAAGGCATTGCTGTCGCAGCTTTCTTTTCCACGGTATCGCAACTATTTCAACCAGTTCTGCAAGCTGAACGTGATGAAAAAAGAAAAGAAAAATAGAGGATCCGCGTCGGGAAGGAAACGGCGTTATCTGCGTCGACGTCGTTTGATAACTCATGTCGTGACGGACAAGGACGACGTCCGTTTCACAGAGAGCCCGCAACTTGCTTCTGTTATCTTCATCAACGTGTCACATACTTGCACACTAGTGCATACACACACTAGAGCTCGAAACTGTCGAGACACTGTTGGCGATTCGAACTGCAACGATCTAATCCTTTACATGTAGAATGACAAACAATAAAATAATATCGTGAATTGATTTTTGAAAAATTTGTCACTTAACAAATGCTTCTTATCTTTATTTAAGCAGCAAAAAATGCAATTTTAAAATAACTGAAACATTCCAGGTGATGAAATGAAACATAAACTCGGTTTAACTCGGTTTATTAAAAAATATGAAAAAATTTTTAGGTTCGAAAAAAAAATCCACTTCTACGATCAATCGTAGAAATTCTAATTATTACTTTGTTAAAATTTCGAACTACGTGTCCAGATATTTACGAGCGATAGTGTGTATCTTTGTTTCATCCCCCTCCATATATATATATATATATATATACGTAATTTCAATCGTCGTAGAGTAGAACAATTGGTTCACGTAGCGTCAACCAGCGTTTCATTCGACCATGAATGTTGATAATAATCGATCGAATGTGTCTCGTGGCGATTCTTCCAGCAGTCGACCGGTTAGATTTGGCCTGACCTTGCCGTGCACTTTGGAGAACAAGGAGAACGCGAGGCCGTATGTGATAAGGGAGGACGTTGACGGCGATCCCGGTGACGGGCAGGTACTCTACAGGGACGACTACGACGATGAAAAAAGTGAGTAATTGAAAGAACAATTTTGGAAATTTATTCGACGACTAGTAACTCGTCGCGAGTGAAATAGCTAAATGAAGTCTCGTACGTGAGTCATGGGTGACTAGAGTACGATCGTGGTTAAATTAAACAGTCATTTTCAACGAGACTTTCAGCTAGTATCATGAATTTGCACGATAATAAAATTGACGAAGAGAGTATTACGAGAAAAAATTACGATCCTTTGAGAAAACTAATATATATATTTTTGTATGACTTGATTCAGTTATTTTCGACTATATATTTATATACAGGGTGTTTCCTGTAACGCGACGCACGATTTTTCTCCTACTTGCAGCCATCTGACTAAAAAAAGTTTAGAACAAAAGTTGAACGGTACAAGGCGTACAGTAGATATCAATAAATAGGAGCACATAATTTTTTTTTTATCATCGAGACGAATTCAAAACACATATTATATGATATTTTTATTAACATTTTGAAACATTTAGCTTCCAATCTGAGATCAACTATGTTTACACTGTCTTAGAATCAAATACGACGAGAAGTTAAAGTAAGCTAAATGTTTCACAGTTCCACTACTGTAAAAGGAGTAACATGTTAATAAAAATATCATATAATATGTGCTTTCAATTCGTCTCGATGTTCTCGGTGGAAAAAAAATTATTTGTTCTAAACTTCTTTTTGTCAGATGGCTGTAAGTAGGAGAAAAATCGTGCGTCGCGTTACAGGGAACACCCTGTATATGTGAAAGTATGAAATGTACAAAATATTTATAATTAGACTATCTATGTATTTGTTGCATTGGAATATTTGGAGCTACAAAAACGCACGAACAATGAAACGGAAAAGTTAGCCAGAGTAGAACGTTTAAAGCGCGTGAGAAATCATTGTTAGAAATATAATAGAAATTTCATAATAAAGCTGCATGTCTATGTTTAGCACGATGGAAACACCTCTCGCAGAATGCCAATTGCTATTAAAAAACAACGTCCTATATGTGTGTGAAACTCATTGACGAATTTAGAGAACCTCGGTTGAAAAAAATTGTTCCTCGAATGTTTTCTTTCTTTTTTTTTTTCTTTTTTTTTTACATTTTCTCGCGTTACCTGCGTCATCTGCAATTTTGCGAAAAACAAATAACACGATATAATCCGCGCCCTTTCTCAAACTCTTGATCGAGAGATCCGGAAACCAAAACTCTCTGTATTGTCCTTTGCATTAAAATTCAATTCGCGACGGAAAGCTTCGATATTCCGAGAGGATGTGAATCTAATAGAAACTGGCATTACCTTCGTTCTCGCTCCTTTATTAAAAATTACGGGGAACGATCGATTTTCCAATTGGAAGTTAATTAATGGATTATCGAACGACTACGATATCCCCGAGGTTCACGTTACATTTCCATTAGCAACTTTTCCCTGTCTTTTCTCTTTTTTCTTCTTCTTTTATTTTTATTTTTTTTTTTTTTTAACCTTGTGTTATCGAGTATTGAAGCACCGAGTAATCACCGTTTCGATCCACGTATGGCCAGTGGCCTTTGTAATTCATCGACATGCTTGACGATCAAAAAGTAATATCATAAATGTAACTACGATCCACTTAAAGAGGTGTAAAACACGAAACGCGTCAACTGTCGAACGACACATATCCCTTATATGTGATTTATTTCTCGCGTATCAGAATAATTGGTAAATTCTGTGCAATAAAGATTAGAATTTAAGAAAAGAATGACCATTAATTTAATATATTTACGTATAATTCTAATATATTTAATACGATATAACCATTGTAAATATTTATTAATAATTCTTTAATAGTAATAATTTTTAATAATAATTGAATATCAGATAATATTAATAATTTAATAATTAAATTTAATTGTACTTAACATGCTGCAATATTATGAATGTGATATATTTATGATTTAATTGTTAATTATTATTTGTCAGAAAGTATTATTGTTAGTGAAAGAAAAATTGAAATTAAAAAGAAAATGCAATTTCTGTGGAGGAGAGCAGTCGTCAGATTTCTTTGAAGGCAGTCAATAGTGTTAAAAGTCACAACTCCTGTGAGGAATATTTCTTTAATAACATCTTAAAGAACAGTAAGAGAAAGGTAAAAGTTTTCTTTTTTTTTTTTTCAATGAGAGACGTTGTTGGTCGAGTTTAATGAGAAACACAATCCCCGTTGCTTTTCTTTTTTTTTTTTCTTTGTTTCTTTTCCTTCTTTTTTTTTTTTTAAGAAAGGAATTACATAAACGCAGCAGCAGTGATCACTGATTCTAATTGAAATTTCTTCCCCAGCAAAACTGGATCCCTTGACAATTAATCCGAAGCAATTAAAAACGATTCGTTAATGATTCTTCCGGTTAGTTTTCCACGCTAATGTTACTCAACTCGGTCTCGCTCGACTTCTGTCTAATAACTTTTATTGCGCTTTATGCTGATCGCTGCATTGCAGACATTTATGCAAATTCACAGTGTTAGACGCCATTAGAGAATTTGTAGCTAGATTCAATTCATCAAAGGTGCGGAACGTTCGTTAAAAAATTAGCATTATGCACTTCCGCAATTTTATGTGAAAACTCGCAGTCTGTTGATTCAATTTTTCAATTAAATCCCAGCTCGAGATTTTATTTTCTTTTTTTTTCGAAGATTTTCTTTTTTTAAATTGTATGATATTTAGCATTATAGTGTCAAAAAAATAAAATTTATTGCTTTGTTGGTTCATGCTTTAACCGAAAAAAATTGCTCACAGAAATTCATCAAGTAACAAAGTGTATAATTTAGGGTAAATGTTCGAGTTGAAAATTCAGAGGTTAAATGAAAGAAAAAAAATCAGTGGTGCAATGTTTGAAACACGTGCCCCAGAACCGTGTTGGGCATTGTTGAGGCGGACTTCTGTTCGAATAATGAATACCGAATGAAATTTTATTTGCTGTGCGTTCGTTCGTTATATAAAAAGAAGTGTTACGTCAGTATTACGTAAACGATTAAACGTGTAAAAGTATACGCTTCATCATTACATAAAAATTCGTTATTCTTACATAAATCTGATTTCCTTCGTTGCAAATCTCTCCTCCCATTAATTTATCCGTTTCATTCTATCTTTTATTTCCTTTCTATTTCCTCATTAATTATACAAAAATACTAGTTACTTTTGTACTTATTCCCAACGCATCTTGGACGAAACTTTATACATATATTTGTCCATTCTTTTGAACAAAAACGTGAACATTTATCTGGTATTAACTTAATTTGTTCAATAACAACAAGACAACCATTGAATTCGACTTGTTCGTTGTTTATAAATATAGCTTTTGCTCGACAAATCAGCACGATGTGAGAAGTGAAAGAATATTTCGAAACGTTTGATATTACAGAGAATACGCGATAATGCGGAAATGAAAATTCGATGTAAAAAAAAAAAAAAAAAACATTGCATAGATTTTTTGATCTTGGACTGAATTCCACGGTGTGTGTATCCAGTTAGACGCGCGATGTTTCATTCAACAAAACGGGAAGCAATGGCGCCTCTCGAACTGAAAGCGAGATCGCGTTCGTTCAGTTCGTTTACTCGGTTTCATCCTCTGCGAAAGCAGAGGCCAATCTGAATTAATCCTTGCGTACACATATGCATATTTTTCACCGAAACGATCAAAAGTGCAACTTTGCATTAATCAAAAGTGCAACAAAGAGGAAAAAGAACGAAAACACGGTCAAAGATAATTCTTGAAATAATATTTCGTAATTTAGATCAAAATTTCGACGATTGTGTCGTTTAAGAAAATTTTACTCAGACGACACTCGAGAGATTTATTTTTAAATCCATCTCACTTTATATTCCCCACGAGATACGTAGGTTTCAAATTTTTATACTTGCCACGAATTATAGTCCACGTACAAAGGAAGAAGTGTGAAAGCTCAAAGGACATCTTTTTTCAACATTTTAATCACCCAGCTGATTTTTTGTTTTTTAATTTCGATTCAAGAACAAGAATCGTCTGTTTTCTAAGATTTCCGAGATCCATTTCTCGTGCTCTTCCGAATAAGAAAAGAATTAGATAAGATACAACACGGAACGTGGGAGGGTGATAAAACACGAGGCGTGAAAGGATCGTGAGAAAACTTGACTCGCGATTGCCAAACGCGCGAAATCAGTATTCGCGGTCCGGACTAATTATACACCCGGGCGCGATTCGTTTATTCACATAGACAGACGCATGATCACGCAAACGCCACGGAGGTTATATTAATCCCCCGAAGATCGCTGGCAACCAGTTCAGTGTGTTTCTGGCCCGTTGTTTTGCCGAGCATCGCCTCGATCGCCAAACGAAAATTTCGCGCAACGAAAGATCGATTCATCCTCCTACGAGACACCTTCAAAATCGTCCGTCCGTCTATTTCTCTCCTGTCAAACGTCGACAGCTATTGACAAAAAAAAAAAAAAAAAGAGAAGGATCGTAAGTTTGTCGACGTGTTTAAAAAGAGAAAGAAAACTCTGAATCTACGAATTGTCGTTTGTGATTTTGATGTTGGAGGAAGCTGTCAACCTGGCTTGAACTTAACCTAACATCTGCTTCACGTTCGCGAATTTGTGAAGTTCGTGCGTGAATTTTGTGGAGAATTTGGAAAAAGTTACATACAGTCGGCGGAGGATTTTGAATTTTCTTGAGACGATCGAGGATTAAGGGGTGAATTAAGAGCGAACGGAGAGCGATGACACCATGCTGTCGATCTGGACCGCGTCGACTTTGTCGATCGCTTGTGGCTCGATGGAACCTTTCAACCACGAATCTTCTCTACGTCGTAGCCTTAGCTGCTCATCCCTCGTCGATGGTAAATCGTCGTTGAGTTCAAATGGTTAAAACAGAGAACGATCGAAGGTTGACGAGTGCTTCGATCATACGAATATCCATGTTGATTTAACAATAGGTGTCATTGAAGAATCTTAGCAGAATGCAGAGGTGCAAAGATGCGTACAATGCGTGTAATGTGAAAAAATACTTGAAACATGTAAAGTAGAGTAATTCAATCATGTTCATAAAATCTAGATTCCTTTACATCACAAAAATTTAAAACTGCACGAAGATCCGCAGTCTGCTTATTAGTGAGTGAGCTGAGGATGTCTATCCAAGTAAAATTGGAAAAATTGTTAAATTGATTCAAAGTCAAAATCGAAAAAATGGTCTTTAATCTAGTGTTTCGAAAATTATTATGACCAAGTTGCAAGAAGAATATTTCAGATTTCACGTTTTAAACGTCTACGAAATGTATTAATGTGTATCGGGTATATATATAGTTATGTTAATGGAATGTTTCAGATAGGATATTTAGATATATTAAATTCTATCTGAAATATTATAGATACATTCACACGATATACTATATTATGCTTTCTGATGAATTAAATAGTAGGTTTTAAATAGAATCTAATATATGTTGATTTAATATACATCGATTCTAATATATTTATTATTGGGTTGTGCAATAAATTCGATTCGATTGCTTCTTAATGCTTTTGAGGATACTAGAAGTATGTATTATAGAAAATACTCCAAGTATAATACGAAATTGAAAATATAACGTGCAGTATTTAAAATATTACAGAACGTAAAATATTTAAAGTATTACAGAATTAAAAAAACAATTACAAAATATTGGACTTGTGACACTGATGAACGATTTAAGTTTATTGGAACATTCGCTGTACTATCGACATTGTTAATGTTAATCATTTCAATGGAAGAAAAATGTTCTTTACGGGTAATAATTACATCATTCAAAGGACGTAGACACGAGATACTATATAGATTTTTTTGTAAAGAAAGAATTGTCAGAATTACTCGCAATTCACTTGTAAAGAACAATCAATCGTACAAACACGCACTGGTTTTTCATCGCTGATAGCGCGAACGAACTTGTTACACTAACAAGAGGCACGATCTATCTAGAAACTACTGTTAAATCCTTCAGAAAGTTAATTAGTATTACCTCGAGAGGTAATATTCACCTGCGAAGAGGTGCCTCAGACGCGCCAACATATAAGTGACGTTTAATTAAGAGACTAATTGTTTCTCTAATTGCAGGCCGGTTGGCAGCAAAGATTGCGCGCAAGGAGTCGCTGTCGCTGAAGCTCGCCCTCAGGCCAGACAGGCAGGAGCTCATCAACAGGAATATCCTTCAGCTACAGACGGACAATGAGAGGCAGGAAACGAAGGAGGCAATTGGTGCCAAGCTCATCAGGTGAAAAAACATTCTTCTATATTTTTCTCTTATTTATTAAAAAAAA